TATTAAGACTAAACAAGGATTGAAAGTGTGAGGGAAGTGGTGATATTGTTTGAAAAGAAATGCACTCTTTACCTGACTTATGTAACCGTAACCCCTCTGTACAATACCTTTACAATAACTAAAAAATTAACTGGGCACTGGTGGCTCATGCCTGTAATCCTAGCTACCCAGGAGGCCGAGATCTGAGAATTGCATGAGCAGTAAAGTCCACAATACTCTTATTTACAATTAACCACTAGAAAACTGGAATTGGAGCTGTGGCTCAAAGTGGTAGAGTGCTAGCCTTGAGCAAAAAAAGCTCAAGGGTAGTGCTCAGGCCCTGGGTTCAAGACCCATGACTGACAAAAAAAATTACAAAAAAATAATATACAAAGATCTCAGAAGCTTAAACACCAAAAAGAATAAGTAACTCTATTAACAAATAGACAAATTAAATGAAGTATAAATGGCCAACAAATACATAACAAAATGTCCAAATCCTTAGCCATGAAAACAATGCATAGCAAAACAACACTGAGACTCAATTTCACCTCAGTCAGAATGCCCACCCTCAAGAAAATAACCCCCAACTGCTAAACTATGGAGTCAGTTTAAGTGACTATCAACTGGTTAATGGACAAAGCAAATATGATGTGTACACATAGTAGAGTATTATTCAGCTATAATGAAGAATGAAATCATTTGTAAGAAAATGGATCAATCATTATGTTGGGCAAGATAAGCCAAGCTCAACGAACCAAATATCTCATACAGAATCTAGACTTCAAATGATAACAACAATAAGAATAATGGAACATGAGCATAAAAGAGAACTGTGGAGGAGGCAGCTGTAGGAAAGGGGAGAGGGAGAGAAGAGGGGCTAGGGATTGAACATGATCAAAATATATTAGATAGCATAGCACAATTAACACACTAAATACTGTTTGATTAGAGGGAAAGGGGAGAGGGGGAGCAAAACAGATCATGAGTATGGCATCTGAAAATACCACAATAAAACCCCTTCACATAATTATGTGTGCTAATTTTTAAAATCTTGACTTAACATAAAGAACTAGCAGGCAAAAAAGGGGTAGAAAATTGAGGAAGGTACTTGTTGACTAGGTGTTTAGAGGTTTGGTTCTCCCTTTGCTGGGAAGTGTGCCTGTTTTGGCCCAGAGGAGTAATTAAAAAATGTAGGTCCTTGACTCACACTTGTAATACCAGCACTCTAAATGGAAAGGCAAATTATCAGAAAACTAACAGTAACAGAGGCTGGCAGCGATGTGCCCAAAAGGAATACTACAACACTGTTGTTGGGAATTAAACTCGGTCAGCCACTCTGGAAAGCAATATAAAGCTTCCCTATGATCCACAATCACATTTCTGGACATCTATCTATTTGACCACAAACCAGACTAAAGACACCAGCACAACTATGTTCATTGCAGCACTGTTTACCATAGTCAAGATAAGGACTTAACCCAGATGCACCTCAGTGGATAATGATCAAACAAATGTGATATATAACCACAGTGGAATTCTATGCTTCCATAAGAAAGAATGACATTGCCCCTTATTTGTAAGGAAATCGAAAAACTTGAAAAAATATACTAGACCCAAAGAAATATGGGCTGCATGGCTTTCCTCATTTGTAATAACTAAAATGTGCCTATAAATTTAAAAGTAAACCCAATGGATAGTAAAAAAAAAATTTAGACATGATTAATTAAATAACACCAAGCATTTGCGCAGGAAGAACTAAGGAAGATATTCTTAGGAGATGATTATAAGGGCTCAATAGCTATATGCATAAGATCATATAGAATGATACTTATTGAAATGAACTCCAAGAAATGGAAGAGGTTTTTTTATTGTACTGCTTGCGGTTCTTTTCTTCTTTTCTTTTTAATTTGGTTAATTCCCTTCTTTGCTGTTTTGATTTTTTTCCTTTTTTTTTTTTGGTTGTTGGTTGTGGGGCCTGAACTCTGGGCCTGGGCACTGTCCCTCAGCACTTCAGCTCAAGGCAAGCACTCTACCACTTGAGCTACAGTGCCACTTCCGTTTGGTTTTCTGTAGGTTTATTGGAGATCAGAGTCTCAAGGTCTTTTCTGCCTGGGCTGGCTTTGAACCACAAGCCTCAGAGCTCAGCTTCCTGAGTAGCTAGGAATATAGGCGTGAGTCACCAGTGCCCGGTTGTTTTGTTTTTTGTTTTTTTGCTGGTTGTGGGGCCTGAACTCTGGGCATGGGCGCTGTCCCTCAGCTCTTCAGCTCAAGGCTAGTGCTCTACCACTTGGGCCACAGCACCACGTCTAGCTTTTTCTGCGTATGTGGTGCTGAGGAATTGAACCCAGGGCCTCATGCATGCAAGGCTCTACCACTGAGTCGCCTTCCCAGCTCTTGTTTTTTAATTTTTGTACTTTTGTTTATAAGTTTATCTGATTTGGGTAGGGGAAGGGGAAGCACAGAAACAGTGGGACAAAGGGAAAACAGCAGTGAAACCCACTAGACATTATGTTGGAAATAAACTAAACAACTTGGGGGAGGGAAGCCAGTAGGAGAAAAACTGGGAGAGAATGAGGGAGGAGTTGACACCATTCAAAATGTACTCATTACCTGACTTATGTAAATGTAACCCCTCTGCACATCACCTTTACAATAAAAAACAAAAAACAAACCAGAAAGGCAAGAGGATCTTGAGCTCAGGGCCAGCCTGGGCTACATAGTGTGAGTCTGTCTCAAAATAAACGTAAAAATTAGACGTTTCAAGTCGACTGATTCTACATGTGAGAGAAAAGACCCCACCCCCCCACCCCACTCCCAATACAAAGGAACGTGGACCAAGCTTCTTAAGCTAGCAGGGCCTCAGCTCCCCAGAGAGCAGTGATCACTTGGGGTGGGGCAACCTGCTCAGCCTTACCAGCCTTCCTCCCCGCACTCCTCCCCCCTCCTTTCTTTCTTCTCCACCTCCTCTCCACCTCCCCTCCACTCCTCCCCTTGAAGTATCCCAACTTCCCTGGGCCTGTGGGACTCAAACCCACGATCTGCGAAAGGAGTCACCAATACTCAGTCTCTCGGGCTAGGAACCTTTATTAGCCGCGGCGACTGACCTCCACTATTGGGACAGTGAAGACCAGCCCCGAACTCAAATAGCTCAAGGAATTTAAAAGCAAAAACCTAAGAGGCCACTCACAGGTGGTCAGTGGTAATTTCATGATCAGTAAGGAAGCAAGTTACAGAATCAAGCTAGCAGTTAATAAGTATAAATGGAAATTACAATTTCAATAATCAATCACGACCAAGTTCTCATCCTTAATCTTCCCTTTGTTCCCAGTTTTGGGTTTTCTTCTAATGGGAGATCCCACCTTTCAAGTTTGGCCTTATTCTTACTAATCAATAAAAGCTAACTGCAAAGGGTTAAGTTCCATGTTTTAGTATATTTGCTGAGCAAGCATAATCTCTCTCTTCGCTCTCTCTCTCTCTCTCTCTCTCTCACACACACACACACACACACACACACACACAAACAGACACTGGGACATTGGTGGTTAGCCTTGCCTACTGTCAGCCCTGTTTTTACTCGCTTTGCAATTCTTGGTAAATGTCAAGCCACAGTTTTGTTACCCTTTCTGAAGTTTGCGTTTATTATTTTTAGGTCGTGGGACTTATCCCAGTTAAATTTCCTTCTTCCTTAGTTTAATACTATATTTGTTTAATTTAACCTGGTCCTAACACTCCCTTCTCAATTCTCCCCCCACTTCCTTCTCCTTCTCCATTTCTCCCTCTGCCCCTCCCCCTCCCCCTCTTACCCTTTCCCCTTCTTCCCCCTCCCTCTATCTCCCTCCCTTAACCCCCAGGGGGCGCAGGTAGGAGCCTGCAGTCCACCAAGGAGACTGACAAAATTAATGATTTAGTATTTCCACTTTCATATTTAGTTTGAGCCATTTCTATCAAAATAACAGAAGAACGAAGGCCGAGGTTCGCTTGCATCGAGTTCTTCAAGAAGTAAAAGCGCAACTTCCCATACCGGGAGTCGAACCCGGGCCGCCTGGGTGAAAACCAGGAATCCTAACCGCTAGACCATATGGGAACCGCTTGTAAGAAGCCTGCTGGAGACTGATTGGTATATCTATTTACGTCACTTACGTCAACAAACCCACTACGGCAAAGCCTGCCCTGCTAAGACCTGCTCCCGACTACGGCTGCGCAGTCCCTAACAGCCGGCCCTCTCCACGGAGCGCAGCCACTTCCGAGGCCTGGAATCTCTTCACCCCGGCGGAAGTCAGGACAGGAAGTGCTTTACTGAGCGTGCTGTCTTTGCCAATCCAGTCCCTAACGTAGGAAACGTAGCGCCTCCTCCGGAGGCTCCGCCTCGCCCCGCCAGGGACTGCCGCGCTCCGACTGCCCAGGGAAGGTTCTGCCGGCGACCTCCCGCTAGAGCAGGGCCAGTACACTCGGACCGGCGGCCACAGGAGTTTCTTCCTCCAGGAGGAATTTTTTTCCCCTCAATGGCCTCACCACTTCTTTTGTTGATAAGATTTTAAGAAACTTAATCTTTGATGGAACAAAGGAGCCAGCGGGTGTGTCATTTTCCTCGGGTTCAGAAGCTTCCCTCCCTTTAGGCTAATCACTGAAGCTGAAAGGACCACCCCTCCTCAAAAAACAAGTACATAAAGAAACCTCCTCCTCCCAGCTACTCAACAAGTCTACAGGATTAAAACTGTGCGCCGGTATACTAAAATAAAACCAGTGAAACCTAATGTCAAAATCCAGAATTTACATAAGTATGCAAGATGACATCAGGAAGGGGTAAGGTCAATTTTTCTACACTGTATAAGTGCACACATGGTATAGAAAGGGTGAGTGTGAACTCAAACCATACTTCCAACAGAAACTACGGAGGCTCACAGGGAAAACAGTGGAGAATTCCCGTATCACTGCCTTAATCCCCAATCTTAAAATCATGGAATTGCTGATAACCTCAACTATACTTTTAAAATTGACTTTTAAAACACAAGAGCTTATGGACTGTTACTAAATCTTTCATTTTATTAACTATTCAATTTTCCTGTGCAGCTTGATGTAATGTTTTATTTTAAATACAGTGAAAAAAATGAAAACAGAAGATTAAAAGATTCCTCGAGACAGCTCCTAGAAATTGCTTTTTTTAAAAAGAAAAGAACAGTAGAAAAGTGAGGCAAGGACAGGGTTCCCAGAGCTGGAAATACAGCTGGTCCTTCCACATGTGGAAACACAGTACTGTACTTCTGGTGAAATAAAGGCAGGATTTGAAACCTGCAAAGTTTCTTCCTATGCTAAGAATTCCTTTGAAAATGCAGGTCAGATTGTTTACTTCCTGAGGAGGCCTGCCCATCTGCTCAGGATTTGTGTTTTGGTTTTTAAGACAAAGTCTATGTTGCCCAGGCTGATCTCCCAACTACAGAGCTTAAGGGTTCCTTCTCAAATCCTTTTGCCTCAGCCTCAAAAATAGCTAGGACTACAAGCAAGCACTGCTATGCTCAGCTGGGTGTTTTTCTTGTTACTTATTTAAATCATAGTGGCCTAATCTGTCAGCTATGCATGGCCGCCTTTTCCTCCATCCATGGAGGATCTGTACTACTTGTCTTGCTCTGCCACTGTTTGCAGTGTTTCATCTCCAGGAACAAGACCACACTTGACTGATACATGAATTTTTCAACTGTTTCACTAACATGAGCCACCTCGTACCTGTTACCTATGAGGGGGGATCCTCTGAGAACATTGGCATAGAAGAGGTTTCACAAAAGTGGCTTTCCATTTTCCCCAGTTTGCCTCTCAAACTTTACACCTCACATAGCCAGAAACATGCAGACCAAGGTCATTAAAATGTTAAGGAGGAAACATTAGGTGGATAAGGGGCATGGGAAGGGAAAGGAGGCCTGATATATAGAGCCACGTCCAAGAACAGCTGTGCCTGGTGCCCTCCTCTGGACACAAGTCAGGCAGCCCCAGGCTCAAGCCGCTTGATTTCCTCCTGGAGCTCCCTGAGCTGGCTTCTACCCCAGTTGATTCGAGTCTGGAGGTTGGCTATATCTGCAGCCAGCTGCAGGCCTGAGCAAAAAGAAAAAAATGTCACCATGGTATTGAGAAATAACACCTCTTTGCCATTTATTCCTCCACATCACAGTCTAGCAGTTTTCAATCTTCAGCTTCCTACTAATTGTTCCCTCTAGGAAACAACCTCTCCTCTTGGATTCTGCCCCGTGGGTGCTGCTATTCCTCTCCCACATTCCACACTCTCAGATCCTCTGCTTTAACAATCCCATTTCAGCTTTACCTTCCAACTTGGGATTTAAATACCTTCACTCTGTCTGTAGTATACTCCCAGATGTCTCTCTAGCCCAGGCCTCTCCCAACTCAAGGCATGTGCCCAAGCAACCAGACACTGTACTGGAGTATTTGATAAGTCATATCATACCCACTTACCTTCTTCCTCTCAGCTGCTGCCCTGCAACCACCCATTCAAAGGGAAGGCAGTTCTACTTTCCCAGGGCCTGGGTAGAGCCCATGAGCTCTTCTAATTTTCTTCCCTAATTTTCTTCTTACAACTAAGCTGTTAGCAAATGCTGGGACTTCTGTTCTCAAGATATGTACAAGTCCTCATCTCCACTGCCTCTACTTGCATCTCACACCTGGCTTCTCATCACACCTGCTTCCTCTCTGTCCTCCAGTCCCAACTGAGCACTCCTATTCTCTGTTCTATTGCCCTATCCTTTCTGTTCAGTTACCTTGTGGTTATGAGTCCTCACTGGGCGCACATCACCCAAGGCTAGCAACCAGCCCAGTGCCCCTAGTATTTATCCCCCCTGCACTGACTTCACTTTGTTGGCCTCCTCTATGTGCTTTCTCCAATATATGAGATGCATTTCCTCTCTGCCTAGAACACTGTTCTCCCAGACCACCCATAAAGCTCTTCCCACATGTCCTCAGAGAGACATTCCTTGACTGGTCTTCCTAAAGCAGCTCCCACCACCCACTCCTATCCTACTCCATCCTGTTAGGGTTGTTTTTTTTTTTTTTCTCTCTTACAATTTTAACCGTTTAGCACTATTTGAAAAGCCTAGTTATTTACACATTGCCACCTTCTTCCTCACAAAATAAACATTTCATGGAGGCTATTTGTCCCTTTTGTTCCTTACTGTATCCCTGTAGCTAGCAGGGATCTATAATTCTGCCAGCAAATGTTAAAAAAGACAGCAGGTATGCAACGAAAGTTTGCAATGGAGAAAATCTGCAAACCCTTAATGTGATATTAGTTGGTAAGTGTTCCTTGTGAACAAAGAGCTAGAATTTAGCGCAGGCAGGCACACACGACCAACTGGCAGAATTCACTCACCATCTCGGAAGCTCGCTTGGGCCTGCCTAAGACTGTGAGGAACCAGGATTCCAAACCAGTTTAGGGGGTCCTGTGGGACTGCAGAGGACTCTGGCTCTGGGGTCTTAGCAGGGCCTTTGCGTCTGCGTAGAGCTGGGGGGAGAAAATTACAGGAGATTGGGGCCTTATAATTCCATCTTTACTGTCTTGGTGGCAGTGTACTTATTCTGAGCTCTTGATGCTGAAAAATAACATTGAAAGTTAGAAAATCCCCCCCAAACCTTGTTGTGTTCCTAGAAAATAGCACCACCTTTTTCATTTGTAATTTGATGACACTCTTCGTCATGATTATCATAGCACACTGACCTCGTCAATTCTGTTTGAGCATGCTGCAAAGAACGGATACAGGTCTTTCAACTATCCATTCTTTGTCTTAGGAAAGATTAATTGGCAAAAGAAGTTTATTCCTCCAAATAGGTAAGAGGTGAACATTTGGCTTCAGCGGAATGTCTCCTAATTGGAAAACTTGCCCCAGGTATAACAATCCACCTATAACTTCTCTAATCTTCCCTAGTAAAGTCTAAAGCAAAGCCAATCTGTCAAGATACTTTGACCTTCAGCTTGATGGTTCTCCATCGCCACAGCCAGACTACAACCATTTCGATTGTACTGTGGTTTTACGTTGAGATCTGCGAGGGGTCCTGACAGAAAGTTCTGGGACCTCACCTGCATCGCGGGGCCCCACCTCTTCCGGGGTCTGGGTGTCCGCTCTGACCACTCGGAACGTCTGCAGTCCTTCCTGGGCCTCGCTAAAGCACGGAGAGTAAAGGCGGTCCTGTCACTGCCCGAGCCGGGTCGCTGCCCGCCCGCCCCGGCGCCGGAGGCCGCTCACCTGGCGCGCACGCGCACCTGGGGCTCCATCCGGGAGGCGAACTGCAGGGGCCCCACCGACTTGGCGCCCATGGCGTAGCGGGCCTTGGCGAGCGAGAGCCAGCCCTGACAAGGGAAAAGAATGAGAAGGCGGCCGGCGGCCGGCACCCGGCGGCCGGCACCCGCCGCCCGCCCTCCCGCTCCCGCAGCCCACCTCCTCCACCCGGGCGTTCAGCGCCGTCCGCTTCGCTTCCAGCTCCTCCAGGTCTCCGAGCAGCTGCAAGAACAGCGAGTCCAACTCCGCCCGCAGATCCGGGGCTGCCATCGGTCGGCCGCACACGGGTCTCAGGAGCACTGAGCTCTTGGTCCCGGACCCACCTCGTTCCAGCTACCCAATCACGGTCCAGCGCGCCGGCGCGACAACCAATGAGAGTCCGAGGGCCGCCTCTCAGCGGCGCTCCCGATGGAGGCCCGAGGCCAACGGTTGCCAGGCCCGGGGGTAGCGCTAACGGCCGGGCCGCCGCGGAACAGCGCGGAGTGGCTGCCCAGAGAAGCCGGCCGGCCTGGCTGTATGCGAGGGCCGGAGGTAGCTTCGAGGCACTCGCAGAAGCCGCCCCTCCACCGCGGTGGCGCTGGAGGAAGGCGCAGCTGTATGGCAGCCATTTCGATTGGCGGCTTTACGTGTAGCTCTTGAAGGGGTCCGGAGGTAACGACCTAGACACTCGCGGTGCCGCTTCCACGGAGCCGCCATGATGGCTGTTCTGGCAGCTCATTACGTTAACCTTGGACTTCCCGAACTCGGGTAGTCCGTGGTGAAGCCGCGGCGGACGTCTCAGTCTTCTCATTTCAGCCGGCTCGGGGGATGCGACTCGCCACTCGGCCACGCCCTCGGCTGTTCGCCATCTTAACTTCGGGCTAGGTGGGCCGCCGTGGACGCCCGTGAAGCCTTCGGCGGCCCTCTTGGTTGAGGGCGGAAGTGATCCCTCCGTGGCGCAGGCTCTGTTCACAGGGTGCCTCGGACCCACGTGGAAGCGGCCCTCAGGAAGGAAAGATGGTAGGGATGGGGTCGGGCCTCGGGTCCCAGCGTGGGGGGGGGTCGGTGCGGGGATGGGCTCCGGGCGGGTAGCCATGGTCCTGTTTTCCAGCTGCGCCGCGAAGCCCGCCTGCGTCGCGAGTACCTGTACCGGAAGGCGCGCGAGGAGGCGCAGCGAGCCGCCCAGGAGAAAAAGGAGAAAGTGCGGCGAGCGCTCGAAGGTAGGTCCCGGGCGCCCGCGATCCGAGGCTCACGGCCCAAAGCCCGCCCGAGCAGATTGGGCCTTGACTGTATCTCCAGTTACTCAGCAAAAAGCAGGGCTTGCTGGTGTGGTTCAGGTGATAGGACCGGCTTTGAGCAAAACAGCCTCAGGCATCCAGGCACTGGAGGCGCACGCCTGTAATCCCAGCAACCCCGGAGGCTGAGATCCGAGGATCACAGTTCAAAGCCGTCCCAAGCACGTCCAGGAGACTTATTTCCAGTTAACCAGCAAGAAGCCGGAAATGGAGCTGTGGCTTAGCTTGATGGAGTGCTGGCCTTGAGCAAAAGACCTCAGGACAGTGCTCAGGCCCTGAGTTCAAGCCCCACGACCAGCATGCATAAATAAACGAACAAATGAATTGAATCAGAATGTGGTGGTATAGTTGACCATCTTTGCAGTGTTTCTTTGTTAGGACTTCCTACTAGATTTTGAATGCTCTTTCTATGTGGTGGCATTATTGCCTCAGTCTCCAAGTATTACAGACCGCTTGTGCCTAATTCTTTCCAAATTTTAGGACTTCACTGTCTTATGTACCCCACCCTATGTATGATCTTGTGCTTGCTCTTGCTAGCTTATGAAGTTTTTTAAAAAGTTGGTTTTTTAAGCACTGTAATGATTTTCTTGCACTTTTTTGGGGGGGAGGGGGCGGTTGTGGGGCCTGAACTCTGGGTCTGGGCGCTGTCCCTTAACTCTTCAGCTCAAGGCTAGCATTCTACCACTTGAGCCACAGCACCACTTCTGTCTTTTTCTGCTTATGTGGTGCTGAGGAATCAAACCCAGGGCCTCATGCATGCGAGGAAAGCACTGTATCACTAAGCCACCTTCCCAGCCCTTCCTTGCACTTTTAAACTTAATTCTTTGTACAGCTTAATTTTGTATTGAGAAAGGAGTTCTAATTTTGCTTTTTTTCACCATTCCATTGGCAGTGTTGACAAAAAATCCTGTGTTGCACATGATTGGAAATGCGGTATTTACTATTGGCTCTTCTGAGTGTGTAACCTTTTATTTCCTAGCTAATTGTACATTTATCCAGTACCTTTGGTTAAAATTCACTTTGAGGTTACCAACTAAACATAGACTATATGCATGTTTAGTATGTATAACTATCTGAGTTAAGAAGCATGCTAAGCACTTGTTACTCATCCTGTCTTAAGAAATGGAAAAACGACCAATACATTAAAATTCAAGAATGCTTTCTCCAACTTACCTTAGCCTCTATATTGAGTATGTTTTTTAAAATGAATTATTTGTTTGCCATTCTTTGTGCTTACATTACACCATTTTGTATCTCTAAATCATAATTGTTTGAGTTTTAGTTCTAAAGGCAGTAATAGATAGCATGTGTTGTTTTTGCAGTTGTTTGGTTTGGGTGTTTGTGGGGGGTGGTTGTGCTTCATTGGTGTCTCAAAAATCATTTGAATCAAATATCCTCAGTACAGTATTGAACTCTATGCAGTATAGCATTCTTGAGGGCATTCATGTTTTGTCTTCTATAGTGGAAAACAGCTATGTACTCATGGAAAACAAAGGTCTTAGGTAGTTAGGAAGAGTACTGACTGTTCTAGGTCATAAGAGAGCATGGAAGGTTCACCAGGCTACTTACCTTGAGTTCTTTATTCCAGAGTAACAGCCTTGCTCTTCTTAAAACCTTTGACCTACAGCCAGCTGACGCCGAGCACCTCAAAGTATTTGGTGCATCTTGAGTAGCAACTTACCAATTTAAAAGGTTTCAGTTAACTGGTCTATTTTCCTACATACAGAGCAGCTCGTTGTTTCATGTTTTTTGCTTTTAAATAGTTGTACAAAAGAGTTTCAGTTCCAGCCAAATAAGTTTAAATGAGTCTTGATCAATGTCACCCCTTCCATTGTGCTCTTTCATCTTTCCTAAAACCATCTATCTATACCTTCAAGTTACAAAGCTCAACTTAATTACATAATGTGCATTGAATATAATTATTTTGTCCACTGGCCTCTCCTCTTATCATTTCGCTGTGCCCACACACACATACACTCCACACATAAAAGCTGTTTCAGTGCTCTGGTATTGATTTTGTTGAACTATTTGTTAGTTGTTGAGAGGAGTTATAACATTGGAATCCTCCTTGAAGTATGCTATCTTTAAGTCAATCTGTTAGTGTATATATGTGTATAGGCTTTATAATTCATATGTATGTATATATAGTATATAATTATAATTTAGGTCTAATTTCTATATATGAGAGAGAACATGGTACCTGTTGTTTCTCTGAGCCTGACTTCACATTACATTTTTTCTAGGTCTATACGTTTCCTTGTATATGACATGCTATTCTTTCTGATAGATAAATAAAACTCCAATTTTTTATTTATTTTTTATTTTTTTTTATTTTTTTGCCAGTCCAGGAGCTTGAACTCTGGGCCTGGGCACTGTCCCTGAGCTCCTTTTGCTCAAGGCTAGCACTCTTAATACTTGAGCCACCACACTGCTTGCAGCTTTTTCTGTGATTAATTGGAAAGCAGCTATGCTCACCACTATATCAGTGCTCCTTTTCTGTGATTAACTGGAAATAAGAGGCTCACTCTCACTCTCTCCCACTCTCTCCCTCTTTCCCTCCCTTCCCCCTCCTCTCCTCCCTTCTTCACCTTCCTTCCCTCCCCCCCCCCCCCAGTCTCTCCTGCCCACACTAGCTTTAAACCACAATCCTCAGATCTGAGCCTCCTAAGTAGGTAGGGTAGGATTATAGGCTTGAGCCACCGTCCCTGGGCTTCCACATTTTCTTAATCCACTCATCCATCGTAGGTAATCTGGGCTGTTTCCATAACTTGGCTATTGTGAATAGTGCAGCATTGAGCATGGATATGCAAGTGGATGTTGGGAGCCAAAAGTTGAGTCTCTCAACATAATAGGCTTAACTATCTCACTGGAACAACTTGAGGCTGAGTTTACAGAAAAAGCTTCCTTATAAATACAGCTGTGTGAAAAATAAAATTTAGCAGCAGCTTAGCAGCTTGATCAGAATCCCTGTCTTGCTGTCATTCTTCGTGTCTCTTGTCCCTTCATTCCTTCTCGTTTAGGTTCATTGCCCTCGTTGAAGTCCTGCGGGTCAGGACAAGTGCCTTTACTGTATCCTGACTTGTAGTATTCTACAAAAATGAGATTAGATGCCCAAGAGTGATATTTCTAGATCATAGAGTGGTATGTTTAGTTTTTTGAACAATCTCCAAACCACCTTCTGAAGTGATTACACTAAATTCCATTCCCACCAGTAGTGTGATGGGGTTCCTTTTTTCCCCACATCTCTACCAGCATTTGTTGTTATTCCTATTTATGATGACCAATCTTCCTGGGCTGAGGTGGGATCTCAGTGTTGTTTTGACTTCCATTTACTTTATGGCTATAAGCGTTGGGCATATGTGTTTATTAGCTCTGTGTGTGTGTGTGTGTGTGTGTGTGTGTGTGAGAGAGAGAGAGAGAGAGAGAGAGAAATGGAACTTGAACTCAGGGACTGGGTGTTGTCCCTGAGGTTTTCTGCTCCAGGCTAGCACTCTGCCACTTGAGCCACAGCTCCAGTTCCAGTGTTTTGATGGTTAATTGGAAATAGAGTCCTGTCCTCACTGGTTTTGAACCACAGTCCTCAGATTGCAGTCTCCTGAGAGACTGAGGTAGCTAGGAGTACAGACATGAGCTACTGGCATCTGCTTTTATTGGCCATTTTTACTTCTTCTATTTTATTTATTTTTGTTGCTGGTCATGGGACTTGAACTCTGGGCCTGGGCGCTGTCCCTCAGCTCTTCAGCTCAATGCTACTGCTCTACCACTAGAGTCACAGAGCTACTTTCGGCTTTTTTGCTTATGTGGTACTGAGGAATCGAACCCAGGGCCTCATGCATGCAAGGCAAGCGCTCTACCACTGAGCCACCTTCCAAGCCCCCATTTTTACTTCTTCTGAGAACTATCTATTTAGACATACAGAGCAGTCTATGTTCTTTTTTTTTTGTCCCAGGGCTTGAACTTAGGGCCTGGGCCCTGTCCCTGAGCCTCCTTGTGCTCAAGGCTAGCACTTAAAAAGAAAAAAACAAAACATCAACAACAAAAACTTTGTGCTGCTGCTATATCTCAAACCTCATAGTTCACAGATGCTAGGCAAGTACTTTAATATAGAACTGTACCTGCAGCCCTATTTAAATTTCTGTCTAGCCATAAAAGTAAGACATATTTGTGATTTAAAAACAATTTTTAGAAAATGAAGTCTGTACCATGAGTTGACACATAGAAGTTAGTAGCCAGACTGGTTTGTCACTTCTCTTACCTCTCAATAATTGTCTACTCAGACAGAATGTGTCTTCCCATTGAATTTGTACAGGCTGTTAGCTCATAGAATGTTATATAAGTAGAAAACTCTTCACTTATATCTCACTTCCTCTTTTTGCATATAGAAAACCGTCTAATTCCCACTGAGTTACGCCGGGAGGCCCTGGCCCTACAAGGGTCCTTGGAATTTGATGATGCTGGTGGTGAAGGTAACTATACCATGTAGCCATCCCCAACACTGAAGTGACTTCTCTGCCCATACGTTTTCGTGTCTTTCTCTGGGGATGCCAGGCTCTTCCAGGAAAGTGTTCCCAGCAGCTTCTAGAAGTGTTCCCACATGCTCTTGTGTGTATGTAAATGGCAGCACAGGGGTGTTCACTGAGAGTTCCCAGTTGCACAGCACACTGGCATTCCATTATTCTCCTTTTCTTCTTGAATTTTCTTCATCAGTGGAATATCTGTCTACCAGGGCAGGACAGTGTCCTAACTTCTGGTCCTAGCAGATTAGCCTTAAAAACAGAAAATCTCCATTCCCCAATTGTGCCTGTACTTCATATCCAGTGGGCTAGTGGCTACCTGCTTGCCCATCATGGATGTAATGCATTTCTGTCAGACAAACTGTTGTCCTCAATTTAGCATTTCAACCGCAAGATAATGGTGCAATCTTGCCTCATGCTTCTGACAGGTGTGACCAGCCATGTAGATGATGAGTATCGATGGGCAGGAGTTGAAGATCCCAAAATCATGATCACTACTTCTCGAGACCCCAGTTCCCGCCTGAAGATGTTTGCAAAGGTAGCAGTGGGCATGGAGTGGGGGGAGCTGCCTGAGGCCAGTGGCTCCAGTCCTGATGGGACACTATGGTCCATGTGTAGGAATTGAAGCTGGTGTTCCCAGGTGCCCAGCGCATGAACCGAGGCCGACATGAAGTGGGGGCACTGGTGCGAGCCTGCAAAGCCAATGGGGTCACTGACCTCTTGGTTGTCCATGAGCATCGAGGCACACCTGGTGAGTCTGATGGAAGGGAAGAGGGACTGGAGATGGTTTGAAGGTAGTTGGGTTCTCTGACAGATCTGCCTTGCTCCCACAGTGGGACTTATTGTCAGCCACCTACCTTTTGGCCCTACGGCTTATTTCACACTATGCAATGTGGTCATGCGACATGATATCCCCGACCTGGGCACCATGTCAGAAGCTAAGCCTCACCTCATCACACACGGTTTTACCTCCCGGCTGGGAAAGCGAGTAAGTCTTAGGGCTTGAGTGGGGGAGGGACAAGGGAAAGAGGACTGGAGGGCAGGCCTGGCATCTGCTACTCTCCTTCCTTGTACACCAGGTCTCTGACATCCTTCGTTACCTGTTTCCTGTGCCCAAAGATGATAGCCACCGAGTTATAACTTTTGCAAACCAGGATGACTACATCTCCTTCAGGTGGGTCTGTGGATTTTGCCTGGGAGGGTATCATGATATTCGTATCTCTTGTGTTTCTGTGGCTAACTTATAGCTGCTCCCAACTCACCACCCTGCCTGGCTTCCTCTCCACAGGCACCACACCTACAAGAAAAAGGACCACCGAAATGTGGAGCTGACTGAAGTAGGGCCGCGCTTTGAGCTAAAGTGTGAGTTTGGAGGTTTATCCTGCCCCTCTGGGAGGTATGGAAAGGGAGGCTGCTGTGCAAATCTTGATCCTCTGTCCCTTCTTTCCAGTATATATGATTCGCCTGGGCACACTAGAACAAGAGGCCATGGCAGATGTGGAATGGCGCTGGCACCCATATACCAACACAGCACGCAAGAGGGTCTTCCTGAGCACTGAGTGAGCCCACTGGCCAATCAAGATTTGGACTTGAAAATTGGGAGTTGTAGGGCACTGTTACAGACCTACTGGACCCAAATTGGAGATCAGAGGGATGTGAATTAATGCTCTGTCACCTGCCTATCTCTGACTAGTCAGAAGGGTCCATTTTCAGGCCAAACCCATCCTTGGCTGGGGAACCTTATGTCTATATCCTGGTGGTATCCATTTGAGGGTTAACAATTTTTTCTGAGTCTAGCATAATAAACACTGTTGTATAATCCCAGAGCTCCAGAAGCCGAGGCAGTAGAATCAAATGGTGACTTCCAGATTACCTAGTGAGACTATCTCAAAACAAAATAAACCAGAAATTTAAAAACACCATTATACCCATTGGAAAATTTAGTGTGGCTATGTCCTTAGGATTCCTGCATTGTAAGCACTCATTGGGATGGATACAGTGAGACTGTGTCACCAGCTTCATGCCAATTTCATGTGAGTTAGCTTGACTTGGAGGAGCTCACATTGTAGACCTCCTCTCCTTTGACTAGCAAGAAATGGCAGTAATGGGCCATCCATCATGCTTGTTTCTAGACTTACCATCTTCATGGGTTATCTACATTAGATAGGGAGAGCTAATGCAACTAAGGAAGGTGGGATCTTCTCCCCAGCCACTCCCAGCTTATCCCCTCTCTATGTCCACAAATGCAGTAAATTGCTTGGTTTTATGTGAGTAGCTGTTAAGATGCTGAAGAATGCACTCAGGTTTTCTTACAGAAGTTTTTTTTTCTATTTATTTATGATTGTATAGAGAACATGACTGTTCTCCCTTCCTCCCCCACCCCCAAGATTTTTATTTGTTTAGGATTCTTTTTTTGGGGGGGGGGGGTCCAGTGGTCCAGTCGTGGAGCCTGAACTCTGGGCCTGGGCACTGTCCCTCAGCTCTTCAGCTCAAGGCTAGAGCTCTACCACTTGAGCGACAGCACCACTTCTGGCTTTTTTCTTTTTGCTTATGTGGTGCTGAGGAATCGAACCCAGGGCCTCAGGCATGTAAGGCAAGCGCTCTACCACTGAGCCACCTTCCCAGCCCTGCACTCAGGTTTTCTAAAGGCAACATTTACAAGAAATCCATGCACAGGTAGGAGGATCTGTGAGGGAATAGAAGCAGAACAGGTCTGTGCATATTATCTGAAAACTGAATGATGGTATATGGTAGCAGAGATCATCTGGAGACTTATGCAGAGATCCTGAGGCCCATTAAGAGAAGGCTTGAAAAAGAGGACAGGGGCCCTGATTAGGACAGAATTCTTACAAGAGCCAAAAAAGATCTGGGACTTAGACCCACAAGTGAGTCCAATTCTTGCTGTAGGGCCTATGCCATCTTGCCACAGCTTTACTTTATGAAGTTTTTTAATGCGGGGTGCCAATAGCTCACGCCTATAATCCTAGCTACCCAGGAGGCTAAGATCTGAGGATCATGGCTCAAAGCTAGCCTGTGCAGGAAGGTCTGGAAGTGGCACTGTGGTTCAAGTGATAGAGCACTTGCTTTGGGCTGAAGAACTCAGGGACAGCATCCAGACCCAGAATTCAAGACCCATGACCGACAAAAAAAATTTTCTTAATGAGTGAATTTGGGAATTGCAAAACAGAACAGAATCATGAAATGTCCTGTGTTACTTCTTATGGTTGCCATAACAAATTACTATAGATGAGGTGGTTTAAAAGTTTCATCTGCTCACACCTGAAATCTGAATACACTCGAGGCTGAAATTTAAGGATCATGGTTTGAAACCAGCCCAGGCAGAAAATTCCCCCCAAACTATCTCCAGTTAACTGGCAAAAATGCCAAACTGGAGGCATGGTTTAAGTGATAGGCCAGCCATGCAAATCAAGAGCCAGAGCAGAAGGCCCTGAGCTCAAGCCTCAGAATAAGCAAAAATATATAAAATTTATTCTGTTTCTGGAGGCCGTAGTTCAAGGTAAAGGTATTTTTCAGTTCCTTCCAAAGGCTGGGGTTGGGCATGGGGATTCATTACTTGCTCTCCAGCTTCTCATGGTTGTATGTTACTGTGTCCTTATAATTACGGCCAATTAAAACATCTATTGTTTATTTTTCATATAAAGATGCTTTAATTGGGATCATGATCTAGGGTGATCTCTTAATTTCAAGATTCTTAAGTTATAGCTTCAAAGACCCTTTGTTCAACTACATGCTTATTCACAGCCTCCAACAATAGGGTATGCTGTAACTTTTGGAGGTGTATTCTGCATGATCTTTAACCTTTGGGGCTCCATTCTGCCCATACCACTCCAAGCCAACTGAACCTTTTCCAAGGACATCCCTTGCTGTCTCCCTAACGATTACAATTTCCCTAAAGCCACGTGTATATGCAGTGGTGGTTTTGTTTTGCTTTTAAGAGGCAGTCTGATTCTGAGCTGGGTTTAAATGATCTTTTTGTTTCAACCTCTCAAGTAGCTGAGACTACAGGTATTGCTTTGTTTTACATAGAAAGCACAGAAATTGATTTAACAGCAGGTCTTAACACTGAGGAACCAACTCACAGCCATACACAGATAAGAAGCGAGATGGGAATAGATGATCTTGTGCACAAATATCTATAGCTAATTCTCAGGTATCAGGATTCTTATCAATATTCAGGAATATAGTGAAGTGGAGAGATCCAAGCAAGAAGCATATCAACCACCTAAATAAGCAATATTAAGTTTTTAAGAAAGGGCTATTAATCTTGGGTGAAATTATGGCTTTACCATGGGTTTTAAAAATACCTTAATTCTCGACATGCTGAAGTATTTGAGTAGGAAATACTCAATAGTTGCTTCAAATTCCTTAACAGTAAGGAAAATGTAACAAGCAAAATGCAAGTGACAGACTTAGTAAGTTCAGGTGTTTTTATCCACTAGTGTTAAAGAGTTATTTATAAAAATTGAGCTGAGTGCTGGTGGCTCACAACTAATCCTAGCTACTCAGGAGGCTGAGATCTGAGGATCGCGGTTCAAAGCCAGCCTGGGCAGGAAAGTCAGTGAGACTCTATCTCAAATAAACCACCAGAAAACCAGAAGTGGCACTGTGGCTCAAGTGGTAGAGCACTATCCTTGAACTGAAGAGCTCAAGGACAGTGCCCAGGCTCAGAGTTCAATTCCCACAACCGACAAAAAAAAAAAAAGATTAAAAAGTAATTTTAAGTGCTTTACCTTGTAATAAAAATAGCTTTTCTATTTTTGCTTTAAATCATTAAAAAATTTCAAAAAAGTTCTATGTGGACATATACTGGCCAGTTAGTGGTAGATAGAAACCAACCTATAATTTGGGCCTAGTTATGATAAACCTATTCCATGTTTATGTTGGAAAATTTTAGAAGCAAGAATATATTAATTACCCCTCAAAAAGGTAAAAACTTAAACAATGTGAATGAAGCTTAGGCAGAGAGGCATGTTTCACAGAACAGCCTTCTGTGAATGACTGTCTTGTCCTAGAGATACTGCTAGTAAAATTTCTGGTCCAAAGGGTTACCCAGGTTCAAGACTTTTTTTTTTCTTTTTCTCTTTGTTTTGTTTTGGTGCTAGTCCTGGGGCTTAACCTAAGGGCCAAGACCCTGTCTCTAAGCTGCTTTTTGCTCAAGGCTAGTGTTCTACCACTTGAGCCACAGTACCACTTCCTGCTTTTTTTGAGTAGTTTATTGGAGATAAAAATCTCACAGATTGGGCTGGGAAGGTGGCTCAGTAGAGTGCTTTCCCTGCATGCATGAGGCCCTGGGTTTGATTCTTCAGCACCACATAAGCAGAAAAAGCTGAAAGTGGCGCTGTGGCTCAAGTGGTAGAGCGCTAGCCTTGAGCTGAAGAGCTGAGGGACAGAGTTCAGTCCCCATGACTAACAAAAACAAAAAAAGATTTTGCAGCCTGGTTTACCTTCAAATTGTGATCCTCAGATCTCAGCCTCTGAGTACCTAGGATCACAAGTGGGAGGCACCAGTGCCTTGGCAGGTTTAAGACTTTTTTTTGGTACATAATCCACATTAGCTAAAGCTCTGTCAGACCTGCACTAATTTTGTAGTTGTGAGACCTAACTGCATGAGAGTAGCTACCTATATAGAGAAAGACCGCTGATTTTAGTGAGTTAACTTTATAACAAGGCACTAAGTTCTCATGTCAGTTCTAATAAGTGCTATCTTTTAGGTCCTATTAAATTTTCTAGGGAGGTTTAAGGCAATACTTAATAACTGATAGCTTGTAGCTGGGCCTGGGCGCTATATCTGATCTCTTCAGCTCAAGGCAAGCATTCTACCACTTGAACCACAGAGCCACTTCTGGTTTTCTGGTGCCCAGGCTGTCTTTGAAACGTGAGCCTGGGGTTTTAGGTAGCCACTAGGGTGCTAGAATATATACCAAGATTTTATTTGTAAATTAGGTACAATAAGATCAACAAAAGTTATAATGAAAGAATATAAATATTGTTTTAGTCTCCATAATGTCACATTGTACTATACGTTTGTTGATAGCAGGCCAAGTTGCCCAGGCCAAGTACAAGCCTCAAAACCAACAAAAAAAAATTACCAAAGTATTCCTTTAAGTCATAAAATACCTAGGGTTCCACTTACAGTATACTTGAAGTAGGTTCCAAATTAAGTTCACTCATTGCAAATGGTTAGCAGGTTTTTTAATAACTTTTAAACTTTAAGGTATATATATATGGTTCACAGACATTGTGGTGCACCCCCCATAATCCTAGCTGTGAGGAGGGAGTCTGAGGTAGGAAGGTCTTGCATTTGAAGGCAGCCTTTGCAAAATTACAAGATGCTATCTCAAAAAAGAAGCTATGGTCCATTGGGATTTTTTTTGTTTTTTTGGTCATGGGGCTTTGAACTCTGGACCTGGGTGCTGCCCCTCAGCTCAAGGCAAGCGCTCTATCACTTGAGCCACAGCACCACTTCTGGTTTTCTAGTAGTTTATTGGAGATAATAGTCTCATGGACTTTCCTGCCTGGACTGGCTTTGAACCATGATCCTCAGATCTCAGCCTCATGAGTAGCTAGGACCCGACTTCATTGTTGTTGTTTTTAAATCATACCAAGGATGTGCAACAATTCACAATGTTAATTTAAACCATTTTTGTCCCCTCCAACTACAACCCTAGTCCAAGGCAACCATTAATAATCTAATTTTAGCCTGTACAGACTTTCAAATTCCTATTCTGAACATTTTATAAGTGGAATGCAATGGGGTTTTTTGTTTTTGTTTTGTTTTTGTTTTGTTTGGGGCGAGGCGGTACTAGGGATTGAATTCAGGGCCTTTCTGCTAGGCCTGAATTTAGGCTTTCTTGCTAGGTCACGTAAGCCACAACCTCCCCCATGCCTTCCCCCCATCTCAATTTGCTTTAGCTGTTTTTCA